TTATGACGAAAAGATGAAGTGTGGTTAGCGTAACGTTCCTTAAATGTAGTCGCTGTCATACCAATGTAGTGTTTAGTGTCGTTCGTGTTGTTCGTTGTGACTGTTGCTTTGTAAATAATGTTGTTGGTCATGCATTGTTTCGGTAGTGGGCAAGTGTTTTTGTTGTCGCAGTTACAGTTGTCAGTTTCCGTATTCTGTGATTGACTGTTCCTACTTATATGTGCGTTGTGTTTGGTGATTATAGACTTAACGTTGTTCATGCAACTGTAGCTTACTTTTAAAGTGTTTCTGTTAAAAATCTTGTGTAGTTTGTGCTGTAGCGGGAAGTGTTTGTCAATTAAACTTAAGAATTCCCGTCCTATGTTCGTGCTAACATGAAGCATTGGCCTGGGCTTCGGATTTGACTACTATTACCGAAAACGATATTTCAATAATAAAACATGCAAGAAAATCTCTACTTTTCGGCAACGGCAAATTATGGACAAAAAAAGACGGAAGCAACAGTTTATTTGACGTCACTATGGGTAGTTTCGACGGCGCTGAAATTTGTGAGCTGGTAGGCCTTTTCATTTTAAATCACTTAGGTAAGAGATTTGGCAAGGAAAACATCGGACTTTATAGAGATGATGGTTTGGCTATTATAAAAAGCAAATCCGCCCGTTTACTAGACAAAACTAGAAAAGAGCTACACAAAATTTTCGAGCAATTTGACCTTAAAATCACCGCCGAAGTAAATATGAACGTTGTAAATTTTTAGATGTTACTTTCGACCTGATCAACGCAAAACACAAACCATACAGGAAACCCAATGACGATCCATTGTACATCCACAGACACTCAAACCATCCACCAAGCATTACAAGACACTTACCTACAGCTATCAACAAACGCATTGCACTTCTCTCATCGGACGAACAAACATTTAAGGAATCCACACCTATTTACCAGAACGCTCTTACACATAGTAACTTTGATCATGAATTTACGTACACTGAGAATGCACCGCAACGGACACGTAGGAATAGGCAACGCAACATAATTTGGTTTAACCCACCATTTAGTAAGAGTGTTAGCACGAACATAGGACGGGAATTCTTAAGTTTAATTGACAAACACTTCCCGCTACAGCACAAACTACACAAGATTTTTAACAGAAACACTTTAAAAGTAAGCTACAGTTGCATGAACAACGTTAAGTCTATAATCACCAAACACAACGCACATATAATTAGGAACAGTCAATCTCAGAATACGGAAACTGACAACTGTAACTGCGACAACAAAAACACTTGCCCACTACCGAAACAATGCATGACCAACAACATTATTTACAAAGCAACAGTCACAACGAACAACACGAACGACACTAAACACTACATTGGTATGACAGCGACTACATTTAAGGAACGTTACGCTAACCACACTTCATCTTTTCGTCATAAAAAAGACTCAAACAAAACGGAACTTTCGAAACATATTTGGAAATTAAAAGAAATCAATCAGGATTATACCATCAAATGGTCAATTTTAAAACACGCTATTTCGTACACAGGGGGATCAAAACGCTGCAATTTATGTTTGGAAGAAAAATTTTGCATTTTGAAAGACATAAACAAAGACAATTTACTCAATAAAAGAAGCGAAATTTTCGGCAAATGTCGTCACCAAAACCGGTTTCGAGTAAACAAGGTCGTTAACAAAACCTAATGACCCAAGCATGCATTGTTTCACCTAAGCATTGTTTCGCCTACACGCATTCCGCACATTCTTTCGATAGCATAAAAGCAACCTACAATTTCGAAATTATTCACCACCTGATGATTCCTATACGGATGAAACAGACTGTTGTGGTTTTTGAGGTAAAACGAAAAACTATATATATATATATATATATATATATATATATATATATATATATATATATATATATATATATATATATATATATATATATATATATATATATATATATATATATATATATATATTCGTAATATATATATATATATTCGTAATAAAATGTCATTTGTGTATATCAGAAAAATTATATTTTTATACTGACTGTATAATATATTGCTGTTATTCGTTTGCTTGATTCATGCATGCATGGAGGCTACTATCTGCCACAAAAAGGACAGCCCATGCATGCATATTGCCCATTGGTATTGAGTCCTGAGGCATTATATCAATGGCACTCTTACTTGGAGTGAACATATCTATAGTATACACGTACCATACTGCGAGGGCGAACAGCATGCTTGGACTATTGAAACGGACTTTCTTCTCTTGACTTACAGAAAAGTAAGACGTAGGTTGGACTTGATGCTAGTCAGATATAATAGGTCTGTTTGACTTACTCTAACAATCTAAGATCCAAAATGTAAAGTGTCCACAGAAGAGCCGCGGTTTGGATACTGAAACGAGCAAGCAATGACTAATAAGCTTAAACTTACTTCCCATCTGTTAGAGAAAGAAATTGTGGAGTTAGTGTTCTTTTCTAAAGCACTTCGTGGTAGTACACAATCCGATGTGAATAACTTTGTTTCCTTTGTGAACAATGGCCGTACACGACTCTGACAGAATTCTTCTCTCATGCTTAAAACTCCTTTCTGCAAATCCAAAACGTTCCAAACATTTGTGAGCTCACGAGAAATACACAGAATGCTTTAGTTTACTCTCATGGTTAAATATGTAAACATGTGGAGGTATGCACTGTAGTGTGCTACAGCAACTAGCTGTCACACATACGTGATAAAAAGCCGATATAAACTTTATAAACAAAGATAATGTAAAATGTAACGGCGAACATGCAGATTCGGCCGTCTCAAATAATGGTAAGGTTGGGATAGTAGCGTTGCAGACTGCTGAACAGAGTGGGCAATAAGGCTCTCTCATGTACCACCCCATACAGATGAGGCTAGATCCGCCCCCTGACAACAACCATCATATACTCTAACAAATCTTATTTTTTCCCCAAATAATCTAGTCTCACAGTGTAAAGCTCATGGTGTTTCTTGCAGTTCATAGTTTTGGACCTTACAACTTTCACCAAGAACATAACAAGTTCAAAGGATTGCTAAATGGTATACACTCCCGATGCAAGCAATGCAAATCATGGAGTAACTCAAAACATGCAGTGAAAGCATTTGTTGTAAGTAATATTGTATACAGTGGTGCTGCCTGCTTGATAATTGGGGTGGCGAATATTCATATCTTCGTGTTCTTCGGCGCCACTGAGATTGTATAGCACTCGTTCTCAGGCTATTGTGTGTGGGCATTTGACCATAATTCAGAAGTGGCTTATTACCACAGGAAAACACCACTTCTTGCCATGATCCTAGGAGGAAAGATTAAGAATCTCCCATCTTTCCCAGAATCCGTTTTTATTATTCGTATACTCTTGCACTGCATTTTCTAAACATTTTAATCATAGTAACATTAGACTAGTCTGTGTTCAGCCTGTATAGTATACTGTATTACACTCTGTGAAAATTCGTGGTATTGCTTGTCAATCCCCAGATCAGATCTGGATAGTTGATTCTGATTGGTCATATGACAGAACTAAAATGGATTCTGATTGGCTGGACTTAAATATCAACGAACTTTCAATTGACTTTTATTTTAAAATCGAAATAATACTTTCTTGACACTTGATGTTCATTGTAAATTTTACTTCAGATCTCCATACAGTATATGCTTCAAACTACTAAATTTTCGATGCAAAAATCTTTCTAATGTATTGCAGATTAATATGATATCCAATTGAGCAAATTAAATGCAACAAGTAACCTTAATTCCTGAGCGTGATGTGACTATAGTTTACGTTATTCAAAGTAAGAACTTTGTCAACCTTTGAACTCAGCCAATCAAAATCTACTGAGTTTAACTATGATCAATCAGAGCCAACTACCCAGATCTGAGTAGTACAGCTGGGATCGACAAGCAACGGCACGAATTTGCACACCCCGAAAACGGTTAACATTTTTATTCGACATTTCGACTAGCTTGCAGTCATCATCGTCATTCCTGATGATGACTGGCAAGCTAGTCGAAACGTCGAATCAAAATGTTAACCGTTTTCGGAGTGGCCATTGTTTTGTATTTTTTTAAATTACTCAGTGGTAACCGTAAAATTTGCACACACTAGCTGTATTGTACATCATAATACCGTCTGTGCACAGGCTACATTAGACTGACTCCATGCATAAGCACAATTGTTTTGTGGAATGGTGGGAAATTTTCAAATATCAGGATAGGAGCGATGTATCATAACAGAAAGACTGCGAGGTCTTGACAAGTGAGCCTAAATACAGTACTTGACCAAATATTTTGCAAAGAGTCAGTGGATGGAATAATCCTCCTCTATCGAAAATGATGGTTCAAGTTTGTAACAGTCATGGATTGCGTTTTCTAAAGGTATAAATGTTTGTTTTATTACAGGATCGTCAACAACAAGTAAAACATTTAATGCCAATTAAAACGTATATTGCAGAATGTCTGGACAAAATCCAGGGTGTAATAAGAGGTATGTATCATTTAAGTCTACTTTGGTTTCGTCGAAGTCAATTTTGCTTAATTAGTTTATTCATTATTTTATTGTTTTGTATTGTTTTATGTTGTGGTGTATTCTACACTGATTTTATCGTAATGTATTAATTAAACTATTATAATCCTTATATACATTGACAAAATTACTACAATCTGATTGGTTAAGGGCCGTTAAGAGGAGTGCCAAATTTTTCATTAATTGCACTCACCAAGAGGGCAATGAATAATTTGAAAAAACAAAATGGCGACTCGCTTTGTAAATATACAAACGAGTCTACAATTCATTTACTTAAAACAAAGCAGATAATGAAAATACACAAAAAATCATTGACCGAAAACTCTCTTGCTGAACTTTCAATATTTTGAACTTGAACAATTTTTTGTTGACGAATCAACAACTTACGATACGTTTTATGTCGGACATTTCGAATAAATATTTGAACTTCACATAAATCTTAATCCATTTATTGTTAAGGAAGCCTTTTATAGTTATTTCTTGTGCATAATTTAGATATTTAAAAAACAAATCTTGATTATTTCAACCATGAACGTTTCAACCGTCAAATGTGTCAAAATATACATGCGTTCTCTGCATTCACGTGACATCAATACCGGGAGGGATCACTGGATATAGCTATATGAATTTTTCATTTATAAATAAATAATTACACGGGCAAGTTGTGCAATTAGTGATTAGCTATACTTGTTGGAATGCTATTTAGCCCGAAGTCAATGTTATCTGCCGACGCAAAGCCGAGGCGTATAACATTCCTATCTATTCGTATATCTGTTCTAAATTTTTGTGCAATTTGTCATTTAGAAAACAACCTAACAGACACAATACATCGCTTGGAACTGATTACCAGACAAGTTGGGTAATGCAACTATAACTAGTCCATTCTATAATAGAAAGCAAACTACATTTTACATGATTATACTTTTGAATTTTTAATATACATGTAGTATAATGTAAAGTCAAACCAGATGAGTTTCTTCCAGTTATTGCAACATTCTGTCCACTGCATGAGAGATTTTCAATCGATATATAGACCCTTTGAACATTTGCCCTCAAGAACAATGGCTCTATTACTTGGGCAATTGCTACAGGTAGATAGTATACTTCAAAATAAGGTTTCCGTTTTTATATTAATTTTTAAAATAAGTTAGGGTTAGGTTAGGGTTGCGGTTAGGTTAGGGTTAGTATTAGGGCTAAGGTTAGTATTAGGGTTAGGGTTTAGTTTTGCGTTAGAATGGTTTTTTTCAACGTTATAAAAATGGAAACCTTATTTTGAAGTATACTTTCTAGCAATCGACCACATTTTGAAATCCCAAACAGTATAATCCTACAGTATATAATCTCACCCCGTTAATACGACCACCCGCATCAAATTTAGAAAACTCAAACGCCTGTGAACACTGGCACGGTAAGTAAACTGTCACAAATGCAAAACAAAACAAGAACAGACTCGTTCTGAAAACGGAGGTCTCTGACTATATAAATCATTATTGACTGAGTGAACACTATAGTAACGACCTTTATTTAATTCAATTTTCAAAATATTTCCACCAAGAATTGTGTAAGGATTAAGTTGTACGTTCATACAATTTAAGGATTGTGGAGATTTTGTCTTAAGGTTTTTGAGTTGTGCACACTCTAACAGCACGTACATGTGAAGGGCTTTTGTACATATAGTTTGTCATTCATCGAAGAACACTTTTGATAAGAAAGGAAATTTTCGGCTGAATCAAACTAAAATTTCCGCAAGGTTAACGTCGAGTTTCCGAAATATAGAACTTGTAGGCTTTTACTTGTGAACGGTCTGTGTCAGTGTATATATAGGTAACAAAAAGGCTGGGTATTGAGATAGATTATAACTACCTGAGAAATTCAAGCAGGGGGATCTAGCCTTATCTGCAAGGAGGGTACAGTATAGCATAATTCCATTTAAAATCATGCAAAAATTTCCAATTAACTGGATCAACTCGCATCCCATATGACATGGGATTCATGGTATCGCCCACATTGACCTTCTTGTTTTTACTCTTCGTGCACAAGGCAACATGAACGAGAGGTAAAGACTTCTTGTCTGGGTATTCAATTGGAGTTTTTGTTAGTTGCTAAAAATGAAGGACAATGTTTTATTAGATCAGGGGCGGATCTAGCCTCATCTGCAAAGAAGGGTGCATGTTTTCCATGGGGTGGTACATGCATGGGAGGGCCTTATTTCCTAGTCTCCTCTGCAGTCTGCTACTGTCCCAACATTACCATTATTTGAGATGGCCGAATCTGCATGTTCCCGGTTCTGTTACGTTTTACATTTAACAAATATAAAACATTTTCCGTGTTGATATACAGTTATATCAACACGAGTGGAATTGGGAAAACGAGAAATCGTATGGAAACACGACGCCCGAAGGGCGGAGTGTTTTCATACAATTTCGAGTTTTCCCAACTTCCACGAGTGTTGATATAACTATATATCAATACGGAAAAAATGTTTTATATTTTTTTTATAATATAGCAATGTCAAAAACCCGAAGGATAAGAAAAACGTCCGTGTTTAAAGCGGCGAAAAATTTCCCGTGTTGACATTGAGTTATATCAACACGGCTCTTAGCCAATCAGCGTTCAGAATTTACAAATGCTATATTATAATATGTTTTGTTGATAAAGTTTATATCGGCTTTATATCACGTATGCATGACTGGACAGTTGCTGTAGCACATGAAGTACAGTAAATTTGCCTGTTAAATTCAGTGGTTAAATTAAATACAGTATACTGTATATGTTTGAAAATATGGCTGTATATATAACAGCCTCGACGTGTTTACATTTTTAACCATGCATGATATTTAGCTATAAAATCATTATGAGTATTCTCTCTTGAACTCACAAATCAATTAAATCGTTTAAAAACATCGAAACGCGCTATCCGTAGAAGTTCCTCCTCTATAATCGCTATTCGAAAAGTATAAAATGTATGATCAAGCAGCTTTTTAGGATCAAGCAGCTTTTTAGGGTGGGCCTTGGCTTGGAACGTCGAGGTTCGGCTTTTTTTTTCAAGTAGTTGTATATCTCTCTCAATCAGCAGCTTTTTTTATTTTAAAGTCGTTTCAGTTAGGTAATTGGTGAACACGCGCGGGGAGCAAGGGACACCTCCCCCCCGTATACACGTATTCACAAATTATTTGCATGCCTATATAGCAATTCGTTGGTACATAGGCCGCATGTTTAACTAAAAAAAAACGCCACTGTGGAGGAGAGAAAAACTCTACTATATATAGAGTAACAGCAAAGTTTTGAAAACAAATAAAGATAATATAACTTATTGGATTCTTCTGAGCTCAAAAAGGCAAAATAGACTGCAATGTTGCATGTGTAAAGTCGAAATAACATCCAGTTTCACGGGGAATAACTCGATTTCATTTGTGGTTTTTGTTTAGACTGAAATTTGATGTCAGCACAACATATACTGAGTGTTTTATTAGCTCTGACATGTTTTATGTTGAGGTACGTATTGCAATTTTCTGCATGCCTAGATTGATCCATGCGTTCATTGGTGTAGGGGAGCGAAAAAATAAGGGGTAGAAAGAAATTGGCCTGACTGTTTTGCATTGTGCCCGACTTATCAAAAAAAAATTTTCTGTGTAAAATTCCCAAATTCTTGTCTATAGGGGCAGGGGAACAAAAATTTCCGAAGGTGTTTAAATTTTTGAAAACCTTACATGCATATATACATGCATTTTCGACTGCATATTATCTTGCATGTTTCTTGCTTTTAAATTTATTTCCCCCACCTTTTTGTCTAACTTCACTTTTTCTGTGTTCAATTTTTCAATTTGCCCAACTTCAATTAGTATATAGGTAATCACACGGGAAGGAGTGCAATTAATGATTAACACTACTCGTGATATTTGAAAAATGTGCCAAAATTGCACGAGCCGCCTAATCATTAATTGCACGACTTGCCCGTGTGATTATTTATTTATTATATACGTGACAAAATCGCTTTCTTTATATTTCAACTGCATTTTGTCAAGAGTTTTTAATTCTTTTGTAAGCAATTTGGTATAAACAAACTTGGGAAATGATTATAAACTCATAAAGGCACATAATTTAAACTAGAACACAAGATTCAAACTCAAACAACATATTTTAGACTAAGAAAATCTTTATAAATTGTATTTCAAACTTACATAGTCGCGTTTCGCTGCATCCCGCCAAGATTATTACTTAAGACTGTTTCCAGGTATTTTCCACAGGCTCTTTTTGCCATACAATGTTTCTTAAACTCATTCTTGTGACAAAATTCAGTTAAATTCGTCCACATTTGTTAGAAATACTCATCTAAATTTCGCCGCCATATTGGATTTTGTTGTTTTGATTTCCCGCTCCCCCCAGCCATCACGAAAATCATTAATTGCACTCCTGGAGAGTGCAATTAATAATTGCACTCCTCTTAACCAATCAGATTGCAGTAATTTGGTCATGTATATAATAAATGCGTAAAAACATGAATCCCAAAGTGTTTGGAATGCCTTTTACATTGGTACTGATTCTGTTCAAAATGTGTTTTCCAGGTACAGTTACAAGATAACGGCAACATATTAGAAGTGAAAGTTCAACATTATGGCGATTTAGTGCCAGTGGTAAGACGTCATGAACTTTTAACATTAAAATGGCAGTCGAGTCTGTTCTGCTCACGCGCGTGTCTTGTTTGTAGCCTAGCCTTTGCCGAGCAGAGTGTATACCTATTTTGTTTCAAACAATAGATAATGCAATAGACAATTCCAGTTATCGACTAATTTTTTATCTAGCCATGTGAAATTAGGGTTTTTTCAGTATTTTAGTATTACGCGCGGTAAACAGGGGTTTCACAATGATTTGAAGTAGGCGGTTGTACCAAAAAAGTAGCCGGCTGTGACCGATAGTTAAAAAATCGGGCGGGGAGGGGAGCGTGCCCTCGCATGTAAATTTAAAAATTAACAAATCGAATAATATAGCAAATCGCAAATTAACAATCAAATAATATAGAATAAGTAAAAAGACAAAGTACAACTGTTAACATGTTAGATTTAGACATGCAATTTTTAACGCCATTGCCGTCGATTGATTTCAGGGAAATTCGAGGTCTACTTGAATTCCAATTGGAACATAACAAACATCGTGTTGGTTCGTTTCTACCTTTGTATATAAAATTTTTTCTGTGACCAGACGAAAAGTAGCCGGCGGTAAAAGTTCAAATAGCCGGCGGAACTCCGCCGCGGCCGCCGGCTTATTCTGAAACCCAAAAATAACCATTTTTGAGCCGAAAGTGGTTACTTTTACCGCGCGTAATACTAAAATACTGAAAATTCGCGAATTTCACATGGCTATATTTTCCGTATTTTACAACATTTCGCAACCACGCAAACTTTGCAATTTTACTAATTTTAGGATGCTCTTTCGAGCTATAATGATAGATTTCGTCTTTCTTGCATCTAGATAAAAAATTAATCGATAGCTGGAATTGTCTATTAAAATTATCCAATCTTTTTGGAAGATATTGCATCTGTTGTTACAAAACTAACTTCAATATTATTATTGAAAGTTTAATTCCAAGTAACGTCATTTATTATTAGCATGACAAAATACTGGTTGCTGATTGTTAGAGAGGAGTACAATTATTTCATCAATTGTACTGCAGTACAATTAATGATTTTCTCAAAACAAACAAAATGGCGGAAAGGTATTTTATTAAAACACAAATTTGAAATGAAAATTCGAACAAAAGCACCAAATTTTGGCTGAAAGTATGGCAGGACTGGGCATTGGCGAGAGAATATGATGTTGACATTGAGAAGTATCCAATTTTGTCATGCTAATAATAAACAAGTAAGGATGCGATGTTGCTCGTACAATTATAGGTACTATAATAGTACTCGTGATGTTTGGAAATTTGCCAAATTGGCCTCGCCAATTTTGGCAAAATTTCCAAACATCAATCGTATACTATTAATCCCTAATTGTACTCGCCATCGCATGATTACCTATTCTAATAGTTGAAAGCTTTTGTTCATGGAAATTTCGAGCGGAAATATATATAATTTTGGACCCTGGTTGCGAGAAATGCAACTACAGGCCCTCTGGCACGAATCGAACCTGCGGCCCTGCGATTCCGATGTAGCGCTCTAACCAACTGAGCTACAGAGTGCAGTTGTCGAGCTGCATTTTTCGCAGCTGCTCCTGTATGGTTAGAAATTTCCATCTACAAATTGCCTTCAACTGCCAAAAAATCTCGCCAAATTTCAAAGCCAAAAAATCTCGATATTTACCCACACCTATTACTGGCATCACCCATGCACTAGGCCACTATATATATATATATATATATATATATATATATATATATATATATATATATATATATATATATATATATATATATATATATATATATATATATATATATATATATATATATATATATACAAGAACTTGCGGTTAAGGCTCGGCCTCTGGACTCTGTAGCTCCGTTAGTTAGAGTACTGCACCGGAATCGCAGGTTCGATTCCTGTCCGCGACTCATGCAGAGGGGCTATCAGGAGTGGAAAACATCTTTTTCTTTCTGGGAACATGGGTCAAAGGCTAGAAATTTTCTTAGGCTGATTTTCGTATGCTCGTGCATCGCAATGCTTGTCTGCTATATATCACATTTATGAGTTATGATCAACTAGTAAGGATCTAACGCTTAAAGTGTATATGAAATGAAAATTTCGATATCGGGTTTTTTGCATTTTCTGAAAATTTGGTCTTTGCCGATCATAAAAATACCAACCTTGTTGAAAAATTCGAACCAGAAGTTTGTTAATTTTACGATTAAAGTTCGATTTTTTGACTATCTACTGGCGAAAGACTGGTACCTAGAGTTCCGGGCCTTGTGACGTATGCAGTATGACACGCCGAAGTGTTTCACTATACGAAAACAACAAAATAACACAAACATCAGACAGTTGCCTTTATATTTCGCTATAAAAATGTCCGATAACGAAAGCTTTGACTCACAGGCAGAGACAGAAGGGTCAACAGATAATGAGGACATCGCTGAGCAATCGTCTGTTGTTCAGCCATATCAATTTGAGCCAGTCGCAGATAGTGACTACGAGGAAGACCAAACAGACGAAGACGGCATTCTTCGTGAAACTCTTGAGGCGAGATTTAAGAAAAATGTAGCTGTTAATTCATGGTAAGTAAAGTTATGAAAGTAATATTATATTAACCCGTTTCTCGACTATTTATTACCCTGTTTCGTCTGATATGTGCGTTTATTTTAAGGTGCTCATGTGGACATTGTAGCGACGAATTATTACAGGACGCTAGAGAGTATAGATGCTGTAAGGAGATTTTGGAGTGCATTGGCAAATTTACGTTCGAGGGCAAGGACGCAGAATGCATCACGCAGCACTGGGATTATACAGTAGTCACCCATCGAACAGTACTAGAGACTGCAGGGGCTTTTCTCTCTGATAAGTCAGGGAAAAAGTATCATAAACCAACAAGCAGAACCCAAGATGGGCAAAACGAGTAAGTCAAACTATCAATGTAATTAAATATCACTATTTCTTGTCTTGTATATATTTGTATTTTAAACGATATCTTGTATTCTTTGTTATACAGTATGTCTATTTATGTTTCTATATGTATATATTAGTACTAATAGGTAATAATAGTGACTTGACTTAGCCTTGGGTAGGCAAATCTTATAAAATACTAAAGAAGTTACTTATGTATGGTCGGAATATATATAAGCATTCTATTAACCGTGGTATTTGCAAACATGAAATTAACGACTCACTGCTTGATTATTTAGATATCTTCGAGCAGTGGCATATCGTTGGATAGTCAGATGGGTATTTGGCATGCTGGGGTGGGAGAATTCCAGACCACTTCCAGCTTGTTTGTATAATGAAATAAGGAAGAGATTTTCATCCTCAAGCACCACTGGATACAAACAATCACAGCAGAGAACTTGATTTAAGGTTTATAGGATTTTTAAAATAATGGGCCATTTCATGTAATGTGTGCACCCCCCCCCCCCCAATTGAAAGCTCTGGAAGTCCTATGGGAAGGGAGGGGTTAATATTGGTAATTTTCGAGAGGCTAAATCAGTCGGCCCCTTTGTTTTTCGAACAACATCGGCCACTTTCCAAAGGGGGAATGTGTCTACACTTTGATGTTCAATTTCCTAAGGGGGTAAAATTTTTAACGACCCATCAATAGGGGAGGGGGGGGGGGTGCACACATTAAATGGAATGGCGCAATGTATTTATTTCTTATAATTTGTTGGTGAATATGAATTTTCTTTTCATACATGCATGTGAATGTTTTCATTAATTACTAAACATTTTGTTGTTGACCAGCTGTATTTGATTGACACGTGCTTTTTTTATGCCCTTTCATTGGCTTCCCACACTTTGTGCAACAAGGAGTCTTGCGTTTGTCCTTGTTGGTAGATCTTGACTTTTCTCTCAGTTGGTCTTGGTGTTGAGTTTCAACTAAACAAAGCATAAGATGCTTTCTTACATAGCTGTATAATAAACACCACAACATACAGTACTATGGCTTCATCAATAAATTTAACAACATTTTCAGAAGCAGGTAGAACATTCTTTCCTTGATACTATCCAAGAGCATGCTTATAAGCTCTTGAGGCAAGAATTGGAAATTGTGTAAGGCTAGGGGTGGTTTGCCAGCTAATAGGTTAACAATAGTCATTGGGATGTTCCAGAAAAAAATCATACTCCCCCCACGGAGGAAATTTCTGCCGTCCGGAGGGGGAGGGGAGAAAAAACTGTTTCTGATAATAGTAAATGTATTAGGACATCCGAAGGGGGTAGGGGGGTTAACTTCCTATTTCCTCAGTGGGGGTGGTATGGATGTTTTCTGGAATGACCCATTAGGAAAATCATCTGATGTTGGACAGACTGAAATACCATTACGGGTTATATTATTAGGAACTAAAAACAAACCAACCAACCTGAGGGAAACAATTCAGTTATTTTCCCTTTTCTCTGTGCCTGATTTCTAATAGCTTCCTCCTTAGTCCTGCGATCAGAAAATTGGCTTGTCAGTGAACCAGGTTCCTTAGCTTTGTATGCTTCATATGTCTTCTTCAAATCTTCCTTATTGCATGTGTACAGAAGTTCTCGACGCATTTCATCTATATAACTTCAGGAAATGTTATAAATAATTCCATTTATTAAAATATGTACCAGCATTTATTTTTGGGTTCAAATCATTTTACACTAGCCTATATACACATATCATATGTTGCTGGGACAGAAATTTCTCTGACCATTTCTTCACCCATCTTAAATTTTGGGTAGGTAACCCTTATATATGGGGTGCCTTTCTTGGACATCTTTTTCTCCCTATGGGTATTCTCATTAAAGTGCAGGCATGCTAGGATGTGCCTAGGGGTAATAAAGTCACTATTAGTCAAATTGTTAAATTCCTCTACTGATTTCTATCAAATATAAGTGGTTTTTGCATAAGTATACTGATGAGTAGTTATGAGACTGGTTACTAACTTTCAGTACTCAGTGCTCACCTGCAGTATGTCCCTAACCAAGAAAAGCAAATCATCTTGGGATGCCAATGGTTCAACACTGAATGGAAACCTTCTAAGGAGCTAGTTTGGACCACAGGTGAAAGTTTCTTAATATCTTTGACTAGGGTTTTCTTTGTCAGAATATTTTTCAGTTTCTGGTAGGGTTTTGATCCTATGAAAGATAGAAAACACTGAGATGTTAAAAATCATTCTATCCAGTTGATATATCACACTCCTGGACACCAAGGAATGTACCATGTTACCACGTACCAACTTTAATCCACTTCTTAGTTTCAGTAATCTCACCATGATGACACTTGTCATACAATGCGTTTGGATGTCCATCATGCTTATTATTGACATGCCTCATAAATGACAACCACTTTGCTTCTATAAGGGCTGAAAATCCAGGCTTGGAAGATGCAGCACACCAGTATATGTGATTTCTGATGGATTTCGCCCACTCTTTTAATATCTCGCAGCCTTTCTCTTTGCTTGCTTTCAACACTTTCTTTACAGTTGACTTTGCCTGGTGCCAGATATCATAATAGTGTGTAGTATCCTTCTGACTAGTTCTCATCCATTTACCTATTCCGCGGTGGCGATCGGACACGAACGTCTTAATTGGGAGCTTCTCCTTGACTTTTATTGCGTCAAATGAGCGCTTGGCACCCTCCAACTCCATTTTATTACTACTTCCAACCTCATTGGCCTGTAAAGATAAGGTAATATGATGACGAGTTATTTCATTCAATACACCCTTTTGTTATTTACGTTACAAATACTTCCTTGACCTGGGAGCTTCGCTTCCATAAATCGACAAGAAATGCAATTCACTCACTGGCACGAGAATGAGACTCCTGGGCCAAGGAGAGACTTGTGACGTAAATATAGAAAGGGTTTACTCCTTAAAACCATATCTAGGGTCTTAAGATTTTACTCTTTGGATTGTGTATTATTTTCCTAAATACGGTACAGCATCAAAACGATAAATTCAAAATACCTGAAGTAATTCGAAGTGCACAAGTTTGGTCAGATTACAATTCAACATTGTATAACACCCATATTTCGCGCTATGTCCCATGCTATCGAATCTGCCATCTCCAGCCCAAACGCTATCCTTTATTCCCTTTAGTTGTTCGATTAATACTGCCCGAGACTTTTCCCAGTATTGCAGTATTAATGGGAACATAAACTTCCTCTGATGGTAGAAGAAAGTCCTAGCACAGTATATTTTAAGGCCCATGTGCCTAAATAGCAGCAAAACTTTACTGATCGAGGATCCAGACATAAGGGTTGCAAAACTCAACAAGATATTGCCAACAGGATACTTCCCCAGCACCAGTGGTTGGCTCCTCCACGTATAGCCTTTGCATGATTTGCATGTTTGTTCCACTATTGCCATTGTTCCATGGACTTTTACATTAACACTTGGCGACCGTGCCTTGCATTTGAAACAGAACAATGAAAACAGTGAAACCAACATACTGTAGAACACAATAAATTTTGGTTCTCTATCAGCCGATCTGAAAGAGAAGGCAACCAATTAGTATTTTTTCAGAGTTCTGGAGAATATCGTGAATACAGGGTAGGTCTATTTTGTGGATGAATGAAGGCCTACCTCGCATCCTGTGATGCATTATCGTTGTCTTCCGTTTCGTCAAGCTCGTCATCATCTGATGCGTCAGTTTCTTCTTTCTCCATATTTGCATTCCAGTCAGGATCTTTCAGTGTCTGACCCAAATTGTCCTCCGAGTTATCTCCCATTAACCAATCTTCGTAATCCCAAGCTTCGTAATCCCAAGCTTCGTCCAAGATACCAATATCTTCACCTGTCTCGTTTTCTGCTTCGTCACTGCTACTCTCGCCTCCCGAGGACAACTCTTGTCGCAAAGATTCAATTGTCTAAAACGAGAAATACAATAAATCCGTTACATGACTCAAAAATTGCAAAATTTAAACTTTGTGTCCAGGCCTGGGGAGTAACCCAAAAATATATTTTCTGACAAGATAAAATTCTGCTATCCTACAGTTATATAAAATTATGCTACGGTATATATAATTCGTTATAACAAACCTTCTGGAGGTTTGTATTCTCTCTTTGCAACATTAAATTGCGCCTTTTTTGCTTCGATTGTAACTTCTGGAGATTTTCAATTCTCTCTTGTTTCATACCACAGTCGACACAAGATAGCGATCCATGAGCTGTCTCTGACATGAAACTTTCATCCTCCGCTGTTGTTTGCAGAGGCTCCTCCTCCATGCTCACGTTAAACATTTCTGTTTCATTACTCGACTCGCCACTAATTCGTTCGGGCAGTAACACTGCTTCAGAACTAGGTAATTCGTCCACGTCATGAATGAAGCTTGCCGATGGCGATAGCTGGTCCCGTACAATCTGCAAGATTCAACAATTATTTTCAAAAAAAGCTTTAATTGACTATAGCAAAGCAAAACTATTCGCAATACTGTAATATTTTCTAATAGCCAATGGACCTTTCCCCTTATAACTAAAATCTCGATCTAGACAAAAATTTCATCACAGCTTGAAAGAGCATCACAAAATTAGTAATATTCCAAAGTTTTGTTGCAAAATCTTGTAAAATGCGGATAATATAGCCTTGCGAAGTTTGCCGTTTTTCAATCATTTTGTATTACAAACGGGAAATTGACATACGATTCGGGTGTTGGGACTGCAATTTCCCGTTTGTAATGCAAAATGACTGAAAATTGCAAACTTTGCAAGGCTCCATTTTCCTCATTTTACAACATTTCGCAACGAAACTTTGGAATATTACTAATTTTGTGATGCTCTTTCAAGCTGTGATGAAATATTTGTCTAGACTTGCTTAGATCAAAATTTTGGTTATAAGGGGAAAGGTCTATTGAATAATGTTTTGTTGTGTAGAACATGACTCACCATTCTCTTCGTACGCGAAGTCGCTGGCATTTCTTCTAGAACGACTGAATCCTTCGTTGGTACTGACCCTTCTGATAAGTATCTTGCCTTTGGTTTTAGCTCGTCTGGTACGTCAATGTGATACCGTGTTCCAAAGCAAGATTTCTCGAAGTGCGCTGAGCATATTACTGACGCATAGGTAGGAGTAAAATTCGGTCGATGTTTTCGCACAAATTTTATCCATATTTTCCGCTGTTCCTCATTTGCAGGAAACTTATGCATTGATATCCCTTCGACGTGATTTGTATTCGTGCTGGAAGCCATGCTTGTTGAATTCGAAATGCATAGTAACTCGGACTGCACTGCTTTATAGGGTTAGATAGTGCAGATGCAGACAAGATTGCGTGCGAGAGCGGGTGTGAGTTTCGTGACGTCGGGGAAATGCGGTAGCCAAGCCTAGATGCGCTATGTCTGTCGTGCAAAACATGCATGCGTTTCTTCCTGAGGTTTTCGAGAGGCGAGATAAATACTAATCAAATTCCGGTCTATTTCGTGCACAAAAACACGCAACTAGATGTAATATATTCTCAATGTGAACTTGACGAACGGTTGTGAGTGAACGTAAATTAATAAAGTAGAGCTCATCATTAGAACCAGGTATAAGTCCTATAAGGATCCTATAACGCTATCGTATTTTATCACCCTATATATGCAATTCAAAATTTGTTTGTTCTGGAATGGTCATGTTATGGCATAATGTCAGTTAATGTAGAGATTTAGTATTAATTTCCATGTTATGCTTACACTAGTTAGTACAATGTTTGCCGTAATTAATATCAGCTATAGCCTATCTACATAATATGCGGTCTGAAACCTACAACGTAGACATATACTAAAACTGTCTGTACCAGTGTGGGTAGTACCAATGTGAAAATGCTGTGCTGAGTGGTTATATTACTACCTGAAAAAAACAAGCAGAAACTCGACGTTTCGAGTTAGTTGACGAAGGGCCTTCGCTCGAAACGTCGAGTTTCTGCTTGTGTTTTTCAGGATAGTAATACAACCACCCAGTCTCTCGTCTCATAGAATTTGCATTTTCGGCCGCTTATACGCTACAACTCGTCATGTTGTAATTATATTGTATCTATACATTGAAAGCGATGTCTACATAAAGTGGATTTGTTTGAATTTTCTTCAAAATCTCTCAAAAACCCAATTCTACCCAGACGAAGCTATGATTTTCATAGTGTTTACATATCGAAAGGTCGCACTGTGTCATACTGCATACGTCACTGGCCGCGCGATGGAATGTCAGGAATTTCGCCAGTAGATAGTCAAAAAATCGAACTTTAATCGTAAAATTAACAAACTTCTGGTTCGAATTTTTCAACAAGGTTGGTATTTTTATGATCGGCAAAGACCAAATTTTCAGAAAATGCAAAAAACCCGATGTCGAAATTTTCATTTCATATACACTTTAATATTTTGCGGCAAAGCATATGGTATTTTATTAGCTTTCAAGTGCACTATCATGCATATTTACGGTGGCTGTCCTCCAACGGGTCGGGGAGAACAATACTCAACTTCGCGCTACCGTCGCGATTATATGTACTCTGCATGCTATATAATTATTACATACTGGTGTTATTATTATAAACGCAAATGGAATTTAGGTAATGTCAAAACATGCCGGTTTAATATTTGAACCGGTCTGCTTTTCTGGAAAGTCGTTCCTTGGAGAGTATAGATCAAATTAGTACAAAATAGAGGCGTCACGTGTATTTATTTTGTGTTTTTATGCTAAGGGCCGATCATTAATGGACCTATTACCTAATGAACAAAATTTTGACCTAGACAAGTGTAGACAAAACTTTTATCACAGATTGAAAGAGCATCACAAAATTAGTAATATTCCGAAGTTTCGTTGCAAAATGTGGTAAAATGCGGATAATATAACCCTGCGAAGTTTGCCGTTCTTCAGTCATTTTGTATTTATACGAACGGGAAATTGATACCGCTTTCTGAAAAATGGTATCAATTTCCTGTGCGTTAATATACAAAATGACTGAAAAACGGCAAACTTCTCAGGGCTATATTATCCGTATTTTACAACATTTCACAACGAAACTTCGGAGTATTATTAATTTTATGATGCTCTTTCAAGCTAGGGAAATTTTTGTCTTGAGTTGTCTGGATCACAATTTTGTTCATTATGAAATAGGTCCATTACAGGGGAGAGGCGGGTGAGGGCTGGTGGAAAACGGGGGTCAGATATTTTTGTGCATGAAAAAAAGGGGGCAAAAATTTTTGTGCAATATAAATACCTGGGGCCGGTTGTACAAAACTCTTAATCACTTTTTTAATCACAATTTTGAAGTTAAATAGTGATTAACTCTCAAATAGGCGCTTCTTATTGGATGACGTTTGCACTTAACCATAGTTAACTTTAATCACTTTTTTATACAACCGGCCCCCAAGGGCATAACTACAGGGGGGTGTCTCCCCCCCTGCCCCCCAATCTTCTGAAACGGTACTCTTGTTGGGCAAAAACTAAGAAAAGGTCGGGCAAAACTACTGAAAATCTAGTCGAAAATAATTTAAGAAATTAAAAAGAATTGAAGAGAAATTGAAGTGTAATATACTTCCAAGACTTGGCCTGACCAAGCCATGCAATCGCGTGCAAAAATAATGAGTCTTTTCACATTTTTGGCCATTTCTGAAAATATGTTGGGCCTGCCCCGGCCATTGCCCATGATCAATGTTGGAAAAAGTGGGTTGGATTTTCTCTTTTCAGCCATTCACACAACATATATATTAACTTTCGGCCCTGGCCAGGCTTGCCTGCGACATAAAACCGACTACATTTAGAATATATTTATAAAATACAACTAATAAATATATTCAGTTTTACTAAAATTCTAGGCCAAAGTGAGCCAGACTTAAAAGGCGCCTCGTTTCGGCTTGGTCTGGCAGAGGACGGTCAATGCTTGTATATAGCCATAATGACAACTTGAGAGACATGTGTCTTTAAATAAATGTGCTAGGTTTATAAATCAACATGCAAATATCTGTGAACTGATTAACTGGTATATTATGTAATCAGTCCTATGCGAGTGGCATGTACATGCACTACCTCCTCGGCAGGCCATACGGGCCGTAAAGAGTATGTCCGTTTCCAGGTTAAAATTTGAAATATGAGACGAAGTATTTTGCCTCCTTCAAAAGGCCGGCTGCAGAGGAGGTAAGTAGTATATGTATACTGTATAAGGCCAAAAAAAATATGTGGGTTTCCGATTTCCCGACCCTACCTTAACCTAGCTTTTGGATGCCGAAATCACCCAACTCTAAACTTTTTTATTGGATCATGTTCGCAGGCTAGAACAGCTTTAAAACAAGATGGCGTCTTTCGAAAAGCTGTCAAGAGAATTAAATTAATAGACTTTATCCTGACTTTATTTTGATAAAATCTTCTTCTATAGCAGTCTTGGACTGATATAACTCTTACAGTCAAACCGGATGTTCTGTTCCCATGAGTATTGCAACATTGCAATCAATCTTGCAATGTTGATTGCAAATTGTTCCGAGCAAATTACACGCAAGTATGCAACTGTCATTTTTTATACATGGTTGTGCGGAAATATGTAATTTATTTCGAGTGTTGAAGAGAATATTGCTAACGAGTGAGCGTAGCAAATTGCAAGTTGTTCCATTATGTGATTTAATAATCTAAATTTTTGAGTAATTAGGTCATGGTAATTATTATGAGTATTTACTATTTTATCTTCGTATCAAACCAAATATATAGCATTGCGAGCTTTAATTGCCAATTGGTATTAAACTCTGCCAGTTTGAGAACATATTATGTTTACATATTTAATTTAACTACCGCAAAATAAATCCCTCTTTGGCACTGAATTTTGCATGTTATTTAGTATTTTTGTATCACGTTATGATTAAAATGGACATATTTCTTGAATAATACTTTTAATCTGTCAAATGATAGGAAAAATATTAGTCCTCATACTTTGTTTTGGATTTGTTACTTTTTGTGATAGATAGGGGAACCAAAGCCTTGGTATTTCCAGAGGGTATTAAAATACAAAATTAGCCTTTGACAGTATGCTCCTGATTTTACTTCATATTCGATTTGAACAACACAAGTTCTACAACAAAAACGTACACGATGTACTGTGCAAATATAAAACGTCATATTTATAGATCAATTTGATTGACATGTTTACGCCACGCATTTCATACGCACGGGTTTTCCCTGAGTTTTTATAATCAGGGCTTGCATTTCCGGCAATTGTTTTATGGTTGAATCTTCACGAAATAATTACAAATTTTAGATATAGACAAGCAAATTATATTTGCGCGTATATCTTGACAGTTATTTAATGGGGGCCTCTGAAACTTGGCTAAACTATAAAAACAAAGTATAGTATAAACGTAGCCCTGTTGTTAAAAATGTCAGAAACTATTATTAGCTCATGACTCCATGTACAGACGTCTAATCCCACGTCTTTGAATCCACACATTTTACAGCCTTAATTAATTATTTTCTTTAAATTGTTCTTAAAAGTAATGAACTGTATGAATAGCAGATATTTAGCTCCATATAAAAAGAAACATTTTTGTATGATTGTTAACAGTTGCCGTGATTCGGGATATAAATGGTTCTCGTCCTCTTAATTTAGAAGTCACTGGTTAAATGTAAATATTATATCTGAAGCAGGCATATAATTTCAACTAGCACAATTTCGCATGCACAATTGCTGTAAAAATGTGATTCCGAGAATGCAACATAAATGCAGTAAAGGCCTGATTCCACGAGCGTTTTTCTCGGCGAAATGCGAAACATTTCTACTTACTGCGAAAGGGGACAAAGTGGGACAATTCAATACAATCGCTCATGTGCAACCACCGTATTTCGCAGACACAAGTTCTCGCGACGAATTTCGCCGTCGTGGAATCAGGCCTTAAGGTCCAGACACACCGGACGCGATTCGACAACGCGACGCGATTTTTCAGTTAGTTTGAAAAACAGCCAATGAGAGCAAATCAGTTAGAAACATATGTAGACCACGTAACTTAAAATGTTATAGCGCTTCTAAATATTTGGAAAATTTAAACTTGGATCAAAGTTATCGGTCAGTGAAAATCGAAAAATCGCGTCGCGTTGTCGAATCGCAGATACATGTACGCGGTCGCGTACCTATTTTTTGGTTCTTGGACTACCTAAATAGGTAGTGGTACGGGTACCAATTTTATCCGTGCCGTACCAAAAATTGAGCGTAGTGTAAACGGGGCTTGAGTGCACAACTAAGTGTACGAAATCGAGTGCTCAAGAAGAGGGAGATGTTCAGTCAGTCTTCTATGGATTTGCAAATTTCTCTCCAACCGTATAACCAGTCAGTAAAGATGGTTTTCAATCTGATTGGGTTTCTGTCAATGGCAGTGTACTTCGTGCGACTAAGCAAGTATATATCTGTCTTGTTCCTTATAATGATCAATGATTTGGAACTCAGATCTGCCAACAAACACCATTGGAAATGTGTTGATGACGTCACAATTTCTGAGCCTTTCTGACCTTGATGCAATCCAGTTTTGGGCTGCACAAAATGATAGCTTAAATTGAAAGAAGTGTAAGGAGTTTCAAAGCAATGTGGATACAAGCATGCAAGAACTGTGAAACAAACCCTCTGGTAAAAATAATCGACAAAGCAAAAAGAAATCTGAACAGTGCATTAAAGGCCGTTTTCCACTGGCGGAATTTTGCGCGCTGAGCGGAATTTCTCTTTGTCTTTTCTAATTAGTTCCACCCGAGAAATCACAAGACAAAGAAAAATTCCACTCTGCGAGAAAAATTCCGCCTAGTGGAAAACCGCCTTTAATAAGGACGGTTAAGATCTAGATGGGACGAACTGTAGGAGGACCATATAAAATTCAAAGGAAAACTTTTACTATTTTCAATAGACAACAAAAACAAACCGTAGATACCATGTTACATGTAACTTTTACATGGTGCACGATTAATAAATTTATTTGACATACTTCACATGTGTATATGTTCACACGCATGCGTCTTATGACTCTTATGGTACACTTTACCATCATACACAGTATTTCGTTGTTTAATTTGATATGCTTCCCCTAAATGTTAATACTACATACAATTTGAAAAGTTAATTTGAAAAGTTAACACTACACACACTCTCTCAATTTTATTCTCTCTCAATTTTATTCCCTCTCATATTCAGTCTCCAAGTTCTAGTTTACTATGTAGCGAAATCGGTTCTCCAATAATCAAAAAAATTTCCAAAAATACGTTACTGCTATACAATAAGTAACTTATATTATTTGGTAAAAAAAATATTACATGGGCTCATGCGATAACCAAACTGGCGTTGATGTTGATTACCACGTCACATTAATGAACCGTCGCAGATAAGAACATTGTCTACTTTATGCTGTTTTTCAAAAGCAATTGACAACCTTCAAATGCTCGTTACAAACAAAAACGTTTTGCGCGAGATTGAGACGAGTTTGCGCGAGATCTAATGTCTTTTTCTGCGACTGGTTATCCTTAGATGCAAACAGTGGATGCAAACGACGGTGCATTTACTTTCTGGAACGTTAGTCCAGTGTTGTGTTGTGAGGTCAAATATTGCGAACATAAATTACATAACATAATCCGATACCCTGACGACAACTTTCGATGCCTAACCAGGAATTAAAAAATATGGAGTTTGCAATTAGCAAAGATGAGACAGTAAAGGTTCGATTTATTTTTGTATTTTATTTCTTATAAATGTAATGGTTTTTGAGCTTGTATTTTGTGGTGTAATATTAACAGTTGCCTATTCTGTTGCACTTAGTCTCCAGCCTTGCTATTAAGAGTTGTGAAAAGTTTAACATCAAGGTATATATTATTATATTATACAGTGTATGTACTATTTAAAATACTGTGACTGTCACACTGACAGTTTTACTGTTCTGCATGTTCAGTTTAATTGCAGTATAATAGATACATTATGAATGCATGCATTTGTTATATTATATCAAGTTGCCTAAATAGTTGACTTGCTGGTTTATGCTGTAGTAATTAGCTCACTGTATTTGCAAAAGCTGAACCATAGAAATAATAGACATAGAATGCGTGCTCCTATCTCTTCTCAGTAAAAACTTTGTCTCCACAAAATGGCGGATTATAAGGGCATTTTGCACTGAGCTGTATAATAACTGGAGGACCTGCTCCTATACTTCGTTCAGTCAACCAAGTGAAGCCAAAAACATGGCGGATTTTGAGTGAAAATGACGCCATTTCCATGACAACACTTACTTTATTTTCATGGTAGGTACCACTGACCAGGCTCAATTCTGAGCCCACGGCCGTTTTCACACCCCCCCTGGTTTTTGCAAAAAAGTTTTGCAGATATTATAGTTCTCGTGGTTTTGAATCGGTTTTTAAAATTTTTTTGATATAAATTTTCTACCTTTGACTATTTGGACAAAGATATGCAAGTCGTTCGTGTTATTCTCGCCCGTGAAAGACGACAGACAAATTTAAAACCTCAAGAAATGTGGGAAAAGACTTGAATATGGATTTTATACAAAGGGTAAGAGACAAATTTGCATATTTCAATTTTTTAATATTTAGACTTTACCTTATTTGACATGAAAATGATAAGCATAACGATGAAACTGACACTCTATTTGTTAATAAAACAACTTCCTGTGTAATACACATGGTAAAGTGTAAAATTTCCCACTATTTCACTAATTTTCGCAAGCTGTGATTCATAAATATTGCAAAATATTTGGTTACAAACTACGAAGCTTTGATCGATATTCAGTCACATATACGAGGATTACGACGGTCTTTGAAGTGCGAACTGTCTGGTGTATTAATGTTTAAAAGGTTGATTCCTGAGCTCTCGTTTTATAAACAGACATAAACCTCATTTCCAGGATGGCCTGTTTTCTTACATGTTTTCTCAGTAAATATCACTCTGAATGAGCAATGTACCTTTATAAGTGCACTCATAGTTCTGATACCCCTTGTTTAAGTTGAGGAGTTTGGTCGCATTCTTTTGTTTACTGTACCTTGATCATATGCTAATTATGTTACTGGAGGATTTTTGTACAACCTACATAATTAATCTACTCTTGTTTGTTGCAGATTTATTCCACAATGACACACTCCTTTCTGGGTGGCAAGTTACAGTACCAAGCCTGGCAAGCCACACATATCTTTGGAAACTGAACATACTGTATTTTAATACATGCTTCCAAAAATTATATCACCTTGGTGAGTCTCATTTTCACGATTGAGACATTGGACTTTAACTCATGCCACATATATGAAAATGAGGCTCCTGTGACAAGGTGAAATACATTCCGGAAGCCGGAAGGGTGTATTTGACTTTTTTGAAAAATTATTGGCAGTAAAAAATTTAAAAAAACAAAAATGTATAATTTTAATTGCTATAAAACTTATTTACACTTCAATAAAGTTATCATAATCATATAATTATTTATGTTGTTATGCATGATATTATAATTAACTAATTCATTTTGTTGTTCTGCATGTTTTTCTGCATGTTGATGCCTCAGTGCCATCTCTTGTGTATATTAAACATATAATTTCTGCAAAATAAAAGATGACATTATTATCATGATACATTATACATCTTTACATCACAAAAATATCATATACACATATGTTAACCCTTCACAAGTGGCAATGTGTCTTGATATGCCTTACTGTATTATTTTAATCTACCTAACACCAGACAATTTTACTAGTCAAGGGGAGAGTGCAATTACATGATCTGTTTTTACCAACGACCATTGATCTGAGCTTCAAAATTAAGTGTCATGTTTCAATATTCAGCAATGCAATTACATTCCTAACTGCTAAAATATGTCAAACTTAACTATTATGAGCAAATTTCATCATAATTTCTCACAGGCCGTGTCATGGCCAATTGGACATCACTACTCCCAATGTTAGAAATCATGGGCGGATTTACTTGGGGGGGGGGGGTTAAACCCCTCTAATAAAGTGTTCAACTCCACCAAAAATTCTGCTTCAACCCTCCTATTTTGTGCGAAAGGCTTTAACCCAAACGTCTAACCCCTGCCAAAGCTCACTGAGTGGTGCCGCTTGCACCCCACCAGAAATTTTTCTACCCCTCCTTTTAAATAAATGAAAATCCGCCCTAATTGTTAGAAATGTTGTAGCATTCCAAATTTAACTCATGATTAGTGTATCAGTGACTCACTTAAATCCCGGCAGCTTGTGGGCAACATTTTTGTTCTTGCCATGTAACTATGACATCATACTGTGTAAAACTATATAGTTTTATATAGTTCTGAACAGACAATGGCAAAATGATATCTATTTTTAGTAAAATTATGAGTAAAACATCTGGATTTAATCTCACAGATTGAGTAAAATAAGAAAGTAGCCAGGGTTCATTGCAGCTTAATGGGCTGACTATATATCTCGGGCTGCTCATTTGCAGATAGCTGTAATTAACCCACTGCGTGGCAGCAGGGAGCAGTCTCAATCCTCTTAAAATCGTCTGTAGACAACCAGAGTAAAATAATAAAGACAGTCTTTAGGGCTCATCGATCAGCCGACAGGGCACATACATTGTCACATGTAGGTGGGCCTCCTCAATAACGGCTCAACTCTCTCTGGTCTTGTGCTTATCTATATATACTAATTCTGCACTGTGATGGGCAAGTATATAAATTTCACACCATATTTAATAATTAACGTTTTAAAATATACGAACATGTAAACAACCACAATTTTTAGTATAAATTAAAAACTGGCAGTCTGGCAATAAAACCACAAAGGCCAGTGCTGACACAAAACAACAATTTCATGTACACAATGTTTAATCTTAACAATACTTTTATGTCCCCTATTGAAATATTCGCTGTATATATTAGGATGATGAGTTTTTGACATAATATGAAGGGTCTAGTGACTGTAGCCGTCTAGAAAGTTATAAAAAAGTTTCGTGAATCTTACCTGAAAGAATTAGTCTTTCTTTGTAGTCTTTGTAGTGAAATGCTGCATCCACAAGCGAAGCAAACTCGCACCCTCGCTCCGCGTTGTAAAACAAGTAATGTTCGAGGGAAATATTAAGATTTTTTAGCTCAAAAACAACAGAAAACTCGAGAGAAAACTTTATGATATCTATATCGTAATATTTGGCCCAAAAACCAGGGGGGTTAAGGACATCGTCGGAAGTTTAGGATCGCGGTTGGTCAGTGGCAGTTACCATGAAAATAAAGTAAGTGTTGTCATGGAAATGGCGTAATAGCCGCCATGTTTTCGGCTTCACTTGATGATGCCGAGCAGGTCCTCCAGTAATATAGTATAGCTCAGTGGCATTTTGGCTAGTCCCAGACTCATAGAGATTATAAATAACACTAGAGGAGGCATCGAGTTTAAAAATTGGGAACGCAGCTAATGGGGGGCAAATTCAAGTCCCGGATATAAAATCGTGCTCTCATTGGCTGATTTGACACTCGTCACCAATGGGAACACGAATACACATCCGGGACTTGAATTTGCCCCCCAATAGCTGCGTTCCCTTTTTTTTACTGAATTAAGATTACAATGCCTCCTCTAGTGTTATTTATAATCTCTATGCCCAGACTCCTGTGGCGTGGAAATTCGCGCGGTGCCGGGAGTGCGAATTGTTTTTTTCAACCAAGTTTGCAAAAACAATTCTATCCAGACTTGAAGTGGAAAAAAAGTGTTTTTAATGGAAAAAAACCCATTCCCGTGGGTTTTTTTACGAAGAGCAATAGTTCTGAACAGAATATATAGAGAAATCGTCGTTTCAAAATACATTTTCAAAACAAAACCATAGGAAGCCCAAACAAGCGGGTTTTATTCAATAAAATCCTTAATTAAAACGTTAATTAGCAATAAAATTGCTGTTAGAATCGTGCACGTAGCGTGCTCCGGTCGCGCTGTGATTTGACTATATAATTAGTGACGTATCCTACTATGTTATTGGGAAGGACGGAAAGTATTCCTCATTTGTCTATATATTGACAAATTTAAAAGACAAATTACTGTAAGAAAACGGCACGTTATCTGCTAAATGTCTATCGTAGCTTTAAGTTGAATAATCAAACTATATTAATATCATAAAATTAGTGTGGAATCTAAAGGAAAGCACTGGTAAAAACGTGCAAAAGTTTCGTAAACTTACCGAAATATTCGTGAATATATGCGGGATGTAAGTACATACCCAAAATGGCGGCGACAGACGATGCTGATTGGTCGAGAAAAGTAAACAAAGTACAAGAGATTTTGACAAAACCGGGGGGGAGAGAAAGCACGTATTTTTTTGAGAGCAAGAGCGGGAAAATAAAAAATACGAAAAATTGTAAATAATATTACGAAAAAGATTTTTTATTTCATTATAAATTCAAAAATATTGACGAAGGCTATCAGTATGTGAAGAAACAAAAGAACAAGACTTTTATCAGGTACAAATATATATTTTTTACGCAAGTTGCTGCAACGTTTTCACGAAAGCATATATATTAAAGTATATTCCTACACTTATAATAGTTTTATACCGGCGAACGGCCGTCAAAAAATGGCAAAGCAAAACCAGGAAAATACGTACAAAAGGAACGTCAACAATTTCTTATGGTTAGTTCATAACTTTGTTTGTATGACTATGAATTATACATTATAATTTATAAATTAAAGCCCCCCAGTCGCGTTTCACACTAGTGCCAAAAACCGAGGCAAAGTGATAAATATGGCCTTGTTTTACTTTTATTTGGCAAAAAACTGTGAGATGAAAGGTTTCCCATATATTTTAGGTCAACTTTGATGAGAAAATTATAGTGTAAAAACACCTACCTTGAGATATTAGTTGAGTAAAGTATTCGCATGTCCGTTTTCATCAACATTGTCCACTCAAATAGGTTTTGCGAGTTAATGCCTCGAATATAATCACACATAAATGCCCAATTTGCCGACATACACGCAGTTTTTAGATTAAAACACAACCCGTTTTGGCGTTTCCTAGTTTTCTGCAGTCTACGTGACTTGTTGCACGAATTCATATGCTTCGACTCTACGACGATTTGAGAACACTTTCAAAAAATTGATTCAGCAAATCCAGAAACTCCTCTGACGTCCAAAAGCTAAGAAAACGTTGAAAAACACTCCATATATCTGTATACATCTCAATTTAAACTGTTTCGATGCATTCTGAAATGAGAAAAATAACCGAAAATGTCGCCTTCGAATTCGAAAACAAGCTACAAGCGCCAAAAATCAACAGTTAAAAAAACAGAAAAAATAAGTTGCAGAATACCAAGACCAAACTAAAAACTTGTTAATAACACTGTTACCTGTCGAAAATGTGTTTAAACGGTTGAATTGTTTACCCAAAACCAATGCCAAAGAGAGTTTTCGTTTAAAAAACGATAAAAAAACTGTCCCCTTTCTTAGATCACTACATTCTGCTATACCACGCATGCTTGAATGTAGTTTAATTATTCCATGACACACGTGACATGTTCTTACGTACGTCAGTATAAATTATGTGAGGTCAATATGGTCATAATTATATCAAAAGGGTGGGACCGTCCGGCAAATGCTAAGCGTTTTGGAATGGTTGAGCGATATTTAATAGATTAATTAGTTATAAGCAATACGGCTAAGATGGTAAATTAAATTTTATGGTTGTCATGAAACAAACTTTGAACAAATTTCATTCCTTCTGTTTTAGGGTTATTTCT